ATATATATATATATATATATATATATATATATATATATAGTACCACCAATATAAACACATAGCTGCAGTAAAGCTAATTTGCAAGTTTCACATAGGAGATTATCGTATTAACTTAATGAAATAATAGTGCATTTATAAATACATCATATAAATAAACTGAAAGAAAAAACCATATGATCATTTCATTAAACACTGAAAAAGCATTTGACAAAATTCAACACCCCTTTATGATAAATGTCTTGGAGAGGTTAGGGATACAAGGATCATACTTAAGTATAATAAAAGCAATATACAGCAAGCCAACAGCTACTATCAAATTAAATGGAGAGAAACTCAAAGCCATCCCACTAAAATCAGGAACAAGACAAGGCTGCCCACTCTCTCCATACCTCTTCAATATAGTGCTTGAAGTTCTAGCAATAGCAATAAGACAACATAAGGGGATCAAAGGGATTCGAATCAGAAAGGAAGAAGTCAAGTTTTCGTTATTTGCAGATGATATGATTGTATCCATCAGTGACTGAGGAAGCGCAGCTTGAGCTATCATGTACGGTTTATGCTTTATACACGTTCCTTCCAGAAACACATTCTAGAGACACGGCTACAAGCGAAGACTGCATTTTCTTTCTTCTTGGTCATAACCTTCTTTTTGCTGGCTTTAGTAGAAATTTCCAGATGAACAATCTGAGTGTTCTAAGTTAACCCAAAAACAGATTAACTCTGAGAGCATATGTAAGGATCCGTTTGTGTCTGAATTCAGAAATGAATAGGCCCGGTATATTCTGTTGGTCGGTGTACCTCCCCCATGCTACTCCCCTACCTGGCCAAACAAACACACACAAAACCAGCAATCCAGTTCTAATCTAATCCAGTTCAGGATGCAGTTTTGGTCCATGAAGCAAGATGGGGGCATGGGAAAATTTCTCTTATTTTAAAGTAAATGTACAAAGAAAATATATCTTCATTCTTACCTTCTGCTGTTTGGTTCCTATGTGAGGGAGAGGGTGCCTGAACTGGCCTTGTCCCATAGCCACACTGATAAATATCGTGCATATCACCATAGAACCCTCATCTGGCGATGGATGGAGATAGAGACAGAGACCCACATTGGAACATTGAACTTAACTCCCTAGGTCCAAATGAGGAGCAGAAGGAGGGCGAACACAAGCAAGGAAGTCAGGACCACGAGGGGTCTGTCCACCCACTGAGACGGTGGGACTGATCTAATGGAAGCTCACCAGGGCCAGCTGGACTGGGAGTGATAGAGCATATGATCAAACTAGACCCTCTGAATGTGGCTATCAGTGAAGGCTGACCGAGAAGCTAAGGACAATGGCACTGGGTTTTGATTCTACTGCATGGACTGACCTTGTGGGAGCCTTGGTTTGTTTGGATGCTCACCTTTATAGACCTGGATGGAGGCAGGAGGAACTTGGACTTCCCATGGGGCAGGGAACCCTGACTGTTCTTAGGACTAGAGAGGGAGGGAGAGGTGGGGAGGAGGAAGGAAAAGGGAGGCGGGGAGGAGGTGGAAATTTTTAATAAATAAAGAAAGAAAAAAGAAAAAAATCTCAAGGGAGTCAAGAGCAAAAGTGTCACTGTTAGTGCTGTGGGACAATGGTCTTACCCTGTAAAGATTTGTTTCTTGTACTTGTTTAATAAAATGCTGATTGACCAGTAGCCAGGCAGGAAGTAGAGGCAGGGTAAAGAAAAGAGAATTCTGGGAAGAGGAAATCTCAGTCTGTAGTTGTCACCCAGACACAGAGGAAGAAAGATTTGACTGCCTCTCAGAAAAAGGTATCAAGCCAAGTTACTAACATAGGCAAGAATAATGGGCTTGTATAAGTTATAAGAGTTAATAAGAAGCTTGAGCTAATAGGTCAATCAGTTTATGATTAATGTAGGCCTCTGTGTGTTTCTTTTGGACTGAACGACTGTGGGACCAGGCAGGACAGAAACCTCTGTCAACAGTCAGGTATCATTAGGGCATAAGGAAACACAGAGTGTTTGGAAGCACCCGTGGAGAACATGAGTTGGTGAACCTTGGAAAAGATGCAATAGGATAAGGAAGGCCATGGTGGAACCTAGGTATGTCAGCCTAATATGAATACATCTTACCATATCTCACCCAACAGAGAGGAAAGGAAATCTTTGCAAAACATCTTCTCAAGGCAGAGAAAGCTGTCTTGCTCCAGCTGACGGATCCCAGGCACTTGTCACAAGCCGCAGACTTCTGGACATGCACCAGTAATCTGGTCTATGACCAGATGCATACTGTCATCAGCTCCTTTGACAAGCCCAAGAATGATGAAAAAAAGACAAAACAACAACAAAAACTCACCACACTTAGAACTGATTGAATTTTAATTCATTTGTCACAAGGTAAATATGTTATAGGTATGTCTTGAATCAAAACATTAATTTCTTGGGATGAGAAAACATGCATTTTAAAATCTATGTATAACAACTTAATATACAGAAAAGGCTAAAATGGAAGATTAACCCATTATCACTCAGAAGGGCAATTGGATATACTCGGGACCCTTAGGTGATTTCTTTCAGAAAGTCACAGGCCGCCCTTGACACCAGGAGTTGGCCTGGAACTCACTGGTTCTGGTGTTCTGTTGAATGGGAACTGTTTCATATGCTACCATCAGACAAGGTCTGCTGTGACTATGATGCACCAGGACAGGAGCGAGACTGTTGGTGACCAGAGCCGAACACAAACTGTGAACATCATCTAAGTCACAAAACACCAAGCAGCTCGTCTTCTTCATGCATTGGAGCTTCAGTTGTCCCAGCGTGCCTGTCCTCTACATGATAGCTGCAGAGACTTGGGGTTAGTACCTTAGGGTTGCCTTTAGAAACTGTCTCAAGAGATATCAAAACAACAAAAAGTTATTTTTTCACAGTTCTATTAGCCAGAAATTTAGATGACAACGTCAGCAGGCCTGGGTCTTCCTTGATATGGATCTGGAAGGGTCTGTCCTCTGGGCTCTCTTCCTGATTCTAGGTCTTTGGCTGGTAAACAGCACTCCAGTTTTGGCCTGTCTTCTTCAGCTTTTCCTCTTCGTTTCCTGTCTTCTCTTATAAAAACTCTTGCCAAGGGATTTAGGCTCCACCCAACACGTTCGGGACCAACCCATCTCCCAAACCTTCCTTTACCCCTATCTACAGAGATGCTATCTTCAAGTAAAATCACATTCCCAGGTTCTGGGTATCTGGGCTTGGGCATATCTTTTGCATATCCATGCAATCCACTACAGATAACTATCTCAGAGTGATCCTAGTTCCCTGACAAAATGCAGTCGAAAAAAAATCATATCCCTAAACTCTCTCCAGCAGAAACAAACCTCAGTCCTGTAAGTCTTCCGGAAGACCCGAGGAGGCCTTTAAAAAGTGCATCCCACTCCTGTACCACGAAATGCGCCTGGCTTACAACACTATGGGTGTCCTCTTTGGGACACTCCTTCACAGTTCACATTTGTGAGCACCTTAATGTGTTAGGTACCAGATGGATGCTCATGTACAGGAATTCACTGGATCTCGGTAGCAGTCCTGTGGGAAAATACAACTGGCCCCTAATCTCCAGGTGAGAATATCGAACCTTAGCAACGTTAGTGTCTACTTCAGTCAGGGCTTTTCAGAAAAACAGAACCAACTCTGTGCCTGCATGTGTGTGTGTGTGTGTGAGGGTGAGAAGAGAGAGATGGGAATTGGTTCGTGTGATTACAGCATAGGTCTGAGCTTTCCAGGCTGAGCCGGAAGCTGGAGAGTCAGTGGCTGTAGTTGCAGTGTGGGTGTGAAGGTGACCAGTGGTGCAGTCTGAATCTAAAGGCCGACGACAGCCTTGCCTTGGCGAGAGCTAATGTTTCATCTGAAGGCTGACGTCCAGAAGGCAGTCAGTGTTCAGCGTTGAGCAGAGGCGAGCAGAGGCAAACTGAAAACTCTGAACATTCCAGTCAGGCTGTCGAAGGCTTGGATGAGGTTTACCCAGATTCAGGGAGCAACTGGTTCTCCTCTTTTGACCAATTTACTTGATTAGAAACCATTTTCAGGCAGCCAGAAGTCTGTGCTATGGCCTGCAATGGGCAGCTTGCACCCATAGTCCCGGTGAGCTGAACAGTGAAAAATTACCTATCTCAGCATGTGCCCCAAGATCCCACAGCTGGTAATTGGTGAAGCCAGGATTCAGGCATTGTACTGGGTAACGTTCGTGCCTTTCCTCATGGTCACTCCACTACCACCACGCTCCCTGCCCAACTCTCATGTTACATATGAGCCTCAGCCAAAATGACTTCTGTATGGTTCTCACTGATCTAGGGTCAGGATAACACGGTTTGGGTCTATTTACATGTATTTCACATTTTGGCGGCTGTATCATATGTGGTTTTTTTGTACCTCTCATTATATTGTAAGGAACTGAACCAAGGACTGTATCTTACCTATAATAACAGCTAATGCTAATACTTCTTGTAGACCATGAATCTGAGTTGTGCGTATCCACTGAGTTCAACAATACCATGAATCATTTGCTTCTTTTATCTCTGTTTTCCAGAAGCTGGCAGACTGAAATCTCATCTGTTTGCACAAAGTGGAGCCAGGATTTGAGCCCTGGCAATCTAGCTCCACAGCCTGACTTTTTAACCACCATGTTTTCGACACCCCTGAGATGTGCTCCTGTTTCCTCTCCACCACTGGCCTTCATTTTCAGAATCCATTTCAGAGGTGACGCGCAGGCTAAGGAGCTGTCTTTGAGACGTTGTTATCAAGGACCAAGAGCTCCGTGGGAGGTCAAATGGTTTAGGGGTTGACTAACTGGCAACGTAGCGAGGGCATGGAGTCCCTTCTGCAGGCTTCACTGGCCTTTATGAGCTGCCATGTGCTGTGGCCTCTCCTGCTGAGGTTCCTTGGTTCCTGCTCACCTCCGCTGCAGGAACACTTCCTTGGGAATCGGTGTGGAGAGTCCTGGGCCCTCCCTTCTCATACACACCCGGGCTGTCCTTATCTGCCTGACACCTGCAGCCAAGATTGGGCTTTGACAGAGCCCTGTCACCTCACTAAACACTGGCTGGCTGCTGTTCCCACTAGTCCTGTACAAACAGGTTCTTTGCATAAGGGCCACCAGCAGGCTTATCCATGGCCTGGGCACTGTGCCAACATGTGGGTTATCAGGTTGGCACACCTCGTCCTTTCTCTGGAGATACTGGGTCAGATGCTAACTTAGGGCTCCAGGGCCTCAGGACAGCAGGGCTTGTGCCCCATTCCCAGAATACTTTCCTCCATCTTCTCTAAATGAGCAGGCAATATTTAGATGTCCTTAAAGCAAGTTAACTCATCTTAGCTATCCAGCTAGTCAACAGGGAATAGGACTTCTAGTTTCCCGTGGGAGCCTCTTTGGTTGGTACCCCTAAAGTAGGCAGATTTTCTTCCACAACATTGGGTCATCATCTTCTTCAATAACTGCACTGTGAGCTCTTTTAGGGCTGAAGCAGGCTTTATAGTTAGTTCCTCATACCCGGTACAGTGTCTGGATGTAGGAACATTCAGAAGTTATTTTCCCACCAAGAAAGCTCGTAGGACTTCCTCTTGATCACATTACTTTGTTAAACAGGACAAATCTCTGATAAGGCTAGAGGAGGCTTGCTGGCTTGTCCCAGCTCTGGAATAAACCAGCAAGGCAGCCTGCACTGCTCTCTGTCTGAAGGAAGGACAAGGCTGGATCAGAAAGGGTCTGTGGTGTCTTCCAGGGGACCCCCAGGTTAGATGCCATTGAGAGAAGGGACATTGTGGGATGAGTCATCTGGATTGTAGGGCTAAGTGTGAAGACATAGAGAATCACATTGTCAGGGTCTGCCAGCTCCAGGGACTGAGAAGAAAGTGGGGGTTGGGGGGGATGATGGTTTCCTAGAGCCTCCAGGAAGGTGGGGCTAGAACTGGTGGCCCTACCTTAAACCACAGCGTGTACTTTTGTACCAAGGCCCTGCTGCTCCTAGGATGCCAGCTGAGCGACCCTGAGAGCTCTCCAGACCTCTCCCTCAATTAAACCAGGCAATCCTACTAATGAAACACAGCACAGAAGGCCCCCTTCAGACTGCACATTCAGGAAGCATCCTTCTTGTGGGACTTTCATGGGAAAAAGAAACCCGTAACTCTTTGATCCCAATTGCCAACAAGGAATTTTTCTTAATATCTTTGAAATCTTGGAGAAACAACAAGAGGCACCTGAACCTTGAAACCCTGTCTTGTTTGATGTTATTATCCTCCAACAGGATAAATATTATCCTCTGGGCTAAACTTCTTTGTTCTGGGAAGATACTACACTTGATATTTGGCTCTTAAAGGAAAAAGCAAGTGCTCTCACAGGCAGAAATTCAAACCCTAGGGTCTTGTGGCATGCATGCTCACCAAACAGCTGGCTCTTCTCACGGGCAGTACTGCACATGCTTTCAAGAGGAAAGTGCTTCATCTCTAAGGAAAGTTTAGTCTGCAAAGTAGAAAACTGTGATTGTTTCTACCAGAGAGGAAACTGTGCTGGGCCGTGTCCCATGAGAGGAGAAAGTGGGGGGCACTTTGGAATATAGAGACAGGATTCCAGGCAAGGATGACAGGAGAATGGGGTGACTACAGACTATTTTCTCCCACTTTCTAGTGTTGAGATCGCAGACCCTAGATCTGTTAGGGTGGGCTGTGAGCTGAATGGGGCAGAGCCCAGAGGTAGTTACACAAAGAGAAGTTTGGCTCCCAAACTTCCCAGTTCCTCATTTCCAGAGCCAGTTTTAAGTGTGAGAGCTGCAATTCCCGCTTTTGATTTCCAGATCTTTGTTAAACCCTTGTCACTCATGAGAGCTTGGGTTTAGCTATGCTGTTGGAAGAACTATAGACCTGGCTGATTACAGCACAGTACACAAGGCAGGGTACTGGTGGTAAAGCGAGCAGAATCTGAGTAGGAGCAGCGGGTAAAGGGGTTGGTGTGAAAGCTGAAGGTTCAGGTGGGGGTATAGGTATAATATATATATATATATATATATATATATATATATATATATATAAAATAACGTTTTTTTTTTTAAGCCAGTCTGGGGTTGCAGATTAAAAAGGAAGCAGGCAATGGGATAATCCTGTATGCAGATGTATGAGAGGAGGTGAGACCTCCAAAGACAGAGGCTCGGAGCTACTTTAGTAATGCTAGTGGGGACACTGAGTTTGCGGACAAGTGGGTTATGGCTAGTACAATAATGTGTCTTTTGTACACAGCACACAAGAACAAAGGTTTGTGGAGCTCTCGTCTTTGGTGGGAAGAAGAGAATTTGTAAAGTGTTCCATAAATTAAAAAAGGAAAAAGAAAAGTTCCAGGACAGGTTTCACATTTACACAAAGAAATCGTGTCTCAAACAAAACAAACAAACAAAAACATGCATCTCATTTTCCATTATATGTGTTGCCCAAATCAGTTGACGTACTGGTTTTTCCAGTGAGCATTAAGTAGGCTTTATAGAGCAAAAATTGGGGATCGGGAGCCATTGTTAAGCGTGACTAAGAGTGAAGATGGATGCTACAAACACATTCCTTAAGGTGCCTATTCAACCTTCCTAAACGTTAGTTTTTTTTTTTTTTATCAAGACTATACCCACCAGACAGCTCTCTTGAGGATTTACTACAGCCAGACCATTAAAAGCCATTTCTAGGAATGAGGCCTACGTGCCCGCTGTCATTGTTCTAGGCAATCCTTCATTCTCTGCTTCCCCAGGATAGTCACATGATCATGATCCTAGGGGACAGAACTGATGGCTCCCAGGAATGCTACACTACCCACTACCACTGAGAGTCCTACATCGAATGCTACCTTTGTGACTGGAGTTGGGGACTATGCTTTCTCTTGGCCTAATGTGAAAGGAAATTACCGACCGCTACCTGTGAGGACCCGGATTTCAAGCAGTGGGATCTTAGCACCCAGGGGAGCGTCTCCTACTTCAGGAAGGCTATGCCGAACAAAGTGGCTATGAACTTGCACATACTCCAGTGTTGTGTGCCCAGCATTAGTCCCCAAGTCTCACAGAGTACAGTAAACTCTAGTCTCTTACGTTGGCCAAGCTGTCATGAGCTTGAGCTCAAATTGCCTCTCGCCTCTCATGTTTAGAGATTTAATCTCTAACAATTTTCTTCAAGTAATGATTAAATCATCCCCCTAGTGGTTCTGCCTCGGCATCCTGCTTTGGACAGTGTATGGCTATTATCTTGGCAAGGGTAAAGACAGCATAGGAATCCCTGAAACCAAAAGTGAACCTCTTGTGTTTGGTTCACTCCCAAAGTAAAAGGCAGTGTCTTAACCAAACGAATTATCTAATACTGATGAGAGGTTTCATCAGTTAAACAAACCATTGTATCGGCCATTTCCTCTGAATTAAAGCATTCCTTCTTGCTGGGGTGGTGGAGGCCTCATAAGACTTAGGAAGCTAAGAGGCCTTGTAAGTAAAGGCTCAGAAAGTTCATGTAACTTAGTAGATTCGGGAAATTTAGGAAGTTACTCGATTTTTAAGGTTCCTTCTCAAGGTTATATAAACAGACAATACTTGCTTGGTACAGGCAAGTAGGGAGCGCTAGAGATGGAGTTTTGGGGCTCCCGTTCCCCAGTAAGAAGGCCTCATCAATATTCAGTAAAGAACCCTGATTAACTCATTGTTTTGTTTGTTTGTTTTGCTTTCATCGTGCACCCCAATTCTGCCTACCTCCTGCTTCCCCCATAGCCTTCCCTCATCCCTGCGATGGGCCCCCAAAAGGAAACAAATCAAAGTAAGCAAGCAAACAAAAGCAAAACCAAAACAAACAAAAAAACAAACCAAACCAAACCAAAACAAAACAAAAACCATGCCAAAAAGCGCTCTCTGCTTCTCCTTTCCTGCTTCTCCAACACCCCTTCACTCGTCCTGGTGGCAATGAAGGCTTCAATGTGCCATGTAATATACCTCTCTGTCCCATCAGCTTTACTAGCGAATGTTTATTGCAATGAGTCAGTGGTCTGGTTCAAGGCCTCTGGTGTCTGGCACACCATCATCCCTGGATCCTCACTGGAGCTCCCCTGGGATATCCTGTGGCTGCCACGAGTCTTAGAGATCTTGCGGGTATTGTTCCACAGGACCAGTCTCTTCACGGGCTCCAGCAGGTCCTAGCTGGTGTAGATGTTAGAATGGGTCAACCCAAGACCCAGCTGTGGGCCTGGGTAGTAGCCAAACTGCTCAGTCCAGGCTCCAGGGGCCACCCACCTCAGTCGAAGGGGTTGAGTCAGCTCCCCTACATGTATGCCTGTAGGATCAGTTCACTCTGGCCTGTGGGGTAGGGTGGGGGTCATCTCTTCAGCGTGCAGGGGCCAGTGCTCTTGCTGAAGTACCATTCCTGTAGAAGCAGAGGAGTGCAATTTCAGTTTCGCCCGTCGGTCTCTCTTCACTGATAAGGAGACTCACTCCATGTCTCGTTTTGCAATTTTTCATTGCTCATTTATTATTTGTGAGGCACAGGCCAAGGCTGGAGTCCACAACTGATAAGTCGGACCTGAACTTTGTCCTCTTAACACAGGCTGGTGGAGGAAGACAGGAAGGCAGGAACCATGCGGTGCAATGGGTTCCATGGTTAAGGTGGTGCAGTGTCCTTTGAGATGCATAAAGGAAAAACATATATATTATAGGTGCAGACATCAGGGCCACCTTAAAGTGAAGGTAAAGAATGAGGAGACAAAGAATTAAGTGGGTGGAAAGGAAAGAGAATTTTGGGGAAAGAAAGCAGCAGGTGACCCGGAGGTGGCAGGAGAGAAAATGGCCGTTATCAGAACACAGCCTCGAGTGGGGTGTCACAAAGCAGGTGTCTTAGGGGGCAGAATTTATTCTTGGAAGGGAATAAAATTTTGATTGTACTTGGATTTGAAGCTTGTGAGAAGTTATTTGATTTAGCTCAAGCTTGATGTAAACAGTTGTTGCAGGGACAGAACAATTAGGAAAACCAAGTTGAGTTCCAGAAGTTTCAGTAAGGGATTGTTGCATACAAGCAAAGAGTGAGCTCTGTGTAGGGAAGACCTGTTATGTCCGGGTGTAAGGTATCCACACACAAAGATAATCAAAAAAATAGTTATAAGAAAGAATAAAGTGACGCGATTTCTCTGAAAATTCCTTTCTTTCTCACATGACTTTTATTTTCTCCTTCTGACAGGCTTGTTTTTTACCTTCTAAAATTTCTAAAAAATGATCTAAAATGTGCTTTTCCAAAGTGTTTTTATTTTGGATAAAGACAGGTCTGCAACAAAACTTTATAAGCTATTTGTTCTGTTAATATTAAATGTCAGGACAAGCATGTTTTTAATCAGCATTTACAGAGCATCTTCTGTGAAGCAGCTGGATTCCAGACATCGGAGATACTGAAATGGTCAGAATACATCCAGTACTGATGCCAAGGAACTTTTATTCTTGTTGGAAGTCGACTGCATACCAAAAACCAAGCAAATATGTAAATAACAGCTCCTATGGGATTGGTGTTAGGAAGAAAGATAAAACAAGCTGAAGGGGTTGGGAGGGATAAGAACGCTGTTTGTAGGGAAGCCAGGAGCAGTTTCTGAAAACAGCCTTGAGTAGGCGTGAGATGTAGAAGAATCACTGTGTGCTTATGTTGAATGTACAGTCAATAGATTTGTGGAGGACGGGAGGAAGGCAAGTGGAGAGACGGCTTCTGGATCAGGGCACAAAAGAGGAGATGAAAAATGAAAAAATTATGTTACTCTAAAAATTATACACGAGTCCTACACATCAGCCACTCAACAGCCCAAGAGAAAAGCTGTTGAAAGGTCCATATTGGACCAAGGATCTGATACACATCCAGAGGCAGAAAACTTGAGGTTCAGTCCTGCCTGTGGAGGCCAAGGCTGAAGTGTGACCCTGCAAGGCTGCGTGTGTCCCTGCCGCAGAGACTGACAGGAACCCCCAGCAAAGGCTCCCATTCTCTCCTCTACCACAAGGCTGAAATGAAGAGAACATTGTGGAAAGAACTGAGAGCTCCACAGTTCAACACAGCACCACTTTGTCAGAGATTCAGACCATAGTAAAATACTGGGTCCACGCTCCTCTGGAGACAATATCTACCAGAGCTTCTCAGCCCTCGTAATGCTGTGACCCTTTAACACAGCTCATACTGTGGTGACCCCAGCCGTGAAATCATTTCACTGCTACTTCATGACTGTAATTTTGCTAGTGTTATGAATCATAATGCAAATGTCTGTGTTTTCTGATGGTCTTAGATGACCCATTTGAAAGGGTGTTCCACAAAAAGGTCACCGGTTGAGAACCACTAAGACATACACTAAACCTGATTGTACAGGCTTGAACTGGAATTACAAATTGAACCTTCCTTATCAGGTACAGTTTGATATATGATATATTACAAGGAAGAAAATAATTTAAAATTTACCCCACCCTGGGGAGAATTCTGATTGATGTGACATTTAGAAAACTAATGTACATTCTTTATGCTTTGTTTTTTGTTATTGTTAATGTTAGAAATATCTCTTAAGATGAGTCTCTCTGCCGACGTCAATAATTGCAATTAAACCAAATTAGAATGAGCAAAAGATGCCCACGTTTAATGCAGCGCTCCCGGGTGGCCTGGGAAAAGCATGGCGAGGGGGAGAGAAAAAAAGGGAGACCACGTGAAACCCAGAGATTATGTGTTTCTTTTTTGGGCGGCAACCCGAGTAGCCTGTGGGAGCGACCCTGACCCTTCCTGGCGAGTGACCACTGCTTGGTGGGCTTGTTTGACCCTCCCTGGAGAGGAGTCACTGCTTGGCAGGTTTTCCCGGAGGCGGAGTCCGGACCAAGGCAACTCCCAGGGGAGGGGGCTTGAAATGGTACTTCCTGCTCCATTCCATAGATGGCTACCAGGGGCTGGAGTGACGCTTCTACCCAAACATCCCAGACTTTTTGTATATAGAGGTGTCAGGGGGCTGGGGTCTCACTTTCAACCAAACATCCTAGACTCCTTGGATATAGGGCATTGGCTCAAGTCTGGCTACTTCCTGCGGGCATGGGGTGATGATGGAGAGGGGACAGCTGGGAGTTGGTGGGCTAACACTCAGCGAGAGGGGTGGCTGGAGCAGCATCCGGTTAGCTGTCATCCTGGAGACCTCAGGCAGATGTTCCTTGAGGGAAATGAGAAGGCAGGTGACTAGGAGAAAAAATATTGTCATTATTGGCCCTGTGAATGAGGCTAGCCATGGGAAGAGTCAGTAACTGCCAGAAAGAATGAGACAGAGAAGTGCCCTGGTTGTACAGGTGAGGCTCAGGTGTATAACTGGGACACAATAGTAGATAAAACCAGATTTTATTGGGTAGGTGTCCTTGATCCAGGAGAGTTGGTACCAATGGTGAAGTCCCAGGAGCTGGTACAGGTGTTGGCATTGTCTAGAGAGGCGTTGTGAATTTGTCTTGGCCCAGACAGCTGGAGTGACCTGTAAAATATGCTTGAAAATGGGTGGAGTTAAATAGGCTCGGGAGACTGTTAGTTTTTTTTTTTTCTTTTTACCAGACCTGATTTGTGATATAGCAGCAGAACTTTTTCCAGGAATCTGTGGGTATCTGTAAGAGGACTGGAACAAATTTACATCTTGGTGTCATAGCAAAAGTCTATTGCTTTAGGTTAAAAGGTATGCACATTTTAGAAGACAAAGGAAATTAGGAACTCTGAATTTTTTTAAGATGCACCTGAAACCTGTTAATTCTGAACTATGAAGCCTGTTAAAGAGGCACACCTGTTTGTATTTTAGCAGAACACTTAACAAATGAGATAATGAGTGACCAGCACCTTAAGTCATCAAATGCCATTAGATAGATCTAGGGAAAAATGAGCAAAAATGAGACAGCTTTTTTTTTTTTTTACATATACAGGCAATACACAGTCTTTCCTTAGTCCTTACTAGTCTACATCTTACTCCTTTATTCTTCAGTGGTTGTTGAAGGCAAAGGGATTGGTGTTTTTAAATGGCTAGTATGGCATTTGCACATGGGCCTAAATAGCAGTTTTGGTTACTTATGCATATAATATTCTGCTCTGCGAATAGTATGGGGATCACACCTGACGCTGAGTGATTAACTTCTGACACATGCACCTTGACTCTACTACAGCACATGACATAAACCAATCCACAAAATAACCCTGGATGATAAGTCCCAAGATAGAAATAAAATAAAAAAAAACTTGAAAAAATAAAACATATTACCCCACCCGAAAAATACCAATTCCATACTAATGGATTCCAGTGGGCACAAGTTTGATTAAATCCCAAAGAATTTAAAGTGATTATATGAATATTTAACAAAATGAAAGAGACTACAAATTTTAAAATAAATTTAAAGAAACTAAAAACAAGCAGCCGAAGGACATAAAATAGTCAATAGAAGATACGAAACAGAAATTCACAAAAGAGATATAAATACTGAAAAAATTCACAAGTCAAAAAAGGAACTCAGTAGTTGAAATGGATCAAGTAGAAGATAGAATCCCAGTGATAGAAGGCAAGAGAGATGCATTTGAATAGTCAGATAAAGTCTTAAACAATATAATATATTTCCATCCATTTGCGTGCAAAATTCAAGATGTCATTGTTTTTACTGCTGAGTAAAACTCTAATGTGTATATGTTCCACACCTTCTTTAACCATTCTTCTATTGAGGGGCACCTAGGTTGTTTCCAGGTTCTGGCTATTACAAATAGTGCTGCTATGAACATAGTTGAACAAATGCTTTTGTAGTATGGTAGGGCATCTCTTGGGAATATTCCCAAGAGTGGAATTGCTGGGTCCTGAGGTAGGTTGACTCCCAGTTTCCTGAGAAACTGCCACACTGATTTCCACAGTGCTGCATAAGTTTGCATTCCCACCAACAATGGATGAGTGTTCCCCTCACTCCACATCCTCTCCAGCATAGGCTATCATTGGTGTTTTTGAGTTTAGCTATTCTGACAGGTGTAAGATGGTATCTCAAAGTGGTTTTGATTTGCATGTCCCTGATCGCTAAGGAGGTTGAGCATGACCTTAAGTGTCTTTTGGGCATTCGAAGTTCTTCTGTTGTGAATTCTCTGTTCAGTTCAGTACCCCATTTTTTAATTGGGTTAATTAGAGTTTTAGTGTCTAATTTCTTGAGTTCTTTGTATATTTTGGAGATCAGACCTTTGTCTGATGAGGGGTTGGTGAAGATCTTCTCCCAGTCAGAAGGTAGCCTTTTTTGTCTTAGTGACAGTGTCCTTTGCTTTACAGAAGCTTCTCAGTTTCAGGAGGTCCCATTTATTCATTGTTTCTCTTATTGTCTGTGCTACTGGGATTCTACCTAGGACGTGGTCTCCTGTGCCCATGTGTTG